TGGAGGCTGACTGGGCAGGGGTGGGGAGGGCATCCTTGTAGTCCGCTGGCTCATTCTCTGTCGCTGGGAATAGGACATGATGCACCAGGCCCGCCATGAGAGCTCGGGGGTGAAACTGGAGGTGAATGAGAGGTGCGTACCTGCGTCTGTCCCCAGAGCCCCAGTGTGGAACACTCCTGACGGTTGAGTTGACCAGCTAGGGGACTGGGCACGAGGCTGCACATGTCCCCTGCCCTGCAGTGGCTGAGCCTTGCATGATGTCACAAGGCCACACTACAGAGCTGTCTTCTCTTTCTGTACTTCCCCAGGATCCTCAACTCCTGCACAGATCTCATGAAGGTGAGTGCTGTGGGTGGGTGACCCCCGGGCAGGCTCTGTGCTGGGACCACCTGGAGAGTCACATGTTGGTCTTGGCAGGCCATCCGGCTCCTCGTGATGACCTCCACCAGCCTGCAGAAGGAAATCGTGGAGAGTGGCAGGGTGAGCAGGACGGGCCATGGGCTGGCAGCTTTTCTGACTGGGCCAGCAAGAGACATAAGCTCAGAGCCCCTGACCCCTTTGTGCATGACACCCTCCACCATACAGTGTCTGTTGCCACAGCTAAAAACCCCACACCTCAGAGAGGCTTCAGGGATATGACTTGTGTTTCAGGGGACACCCTCTGGGTACCCATTTCCTACTCGAAATGGTCTTGATCCTGTCTTGTCCTTTCATCACCACTAGGGGGCAGCCACGCAGCAGGAATTTTATGCCAAGAATTCACGGTGGACTGAAGGCCTCATCTCCGCCTCTAAGGCTGTGGGCTGGGGGGCCACACAGTTGGTGTATGTTGTCCCAGGTGGGGGTGGGGTGGGCTAGGTGCTAAGGTCTGGTGTGTGGGGCTGCTCTACCGTTCCTGGTGCAGAGAACCAGGCTCTGACTGGCCCCCACCCCTCAGGGAGTCGGCTGACAAGGTGGTGCTTCACATGGGCAAATACGAGGAACTCATCGTCTGCTCACATGAGATTGCCGCCAGCACAGCCCAGCTGGTGGCAGCCTCCAAGGTGAGCAAGGCTGTACTGGTGTCTTCACTTTGTCAGGAGGGCTTGGGGCCTTCCCAGGCTGCCTGTGACCAGCAAACCTGTGCACTCTGCTCCCTTCAGGTAAAAGCCAACAAGCACAGTCCTCACCTGAGCCGCCTGCAGGAGTGCTCCCGCACTGTCAACGAGAGGGCCGCCAACGTGGTGGCCTCCACCAAATCGGGCCAGGAGCAGATTGAGGACAGAGGCAAGTGCGTGGGTGCTCAAAGGGGCTTCCCAGAGCTGGTGGGAGAGCTCACTCAGCTTACTCACCCCCAACCACAGACACCATGGATTTCTCCGGCCTGTCCCTCATCAAGCTGAAGAAGCAGGAGATGGAGACACAGGTGAGTGCCCTCATGCCCCCGGCTGCCAGGCTCCCCTGGGGCTCATGGGCAGTGCTGATTGCTCTGTGGCCTGCCTGCAGGTGCGAGTCTTGGAGCTGGAGAAGACTCTAGAGGCAGAGCGCGTACGGCTCGGGGAGCTGCGCAAGCAGCACTACGTACTGGCCGGGGTGATGGGGGCACCCGGTGAGGAAGAACCCAGCAGACCCAGCCCCGCTCCCCGAAGTTCAGCCACCAAGAAGCCACCCTTGGCCCAGAAACCCAGCATAGCCCCCAGGCCAGACAACCAGGTGTCAGGCATCAGTGCGGGGATATAGGGAGGGGTGTGTACATGCGTGCCAGTGAGTGTGAGTGTATGTGTATGTGTGTGAGTGTGAGTGTATGTGTGTGTGTGTGCATGCGTGCCAGTGTGAGAGAGAGAGTGTGTGTGTGTGTGTGTGTGTGAGTGCACTTGGGTCTAAGTGTGCACCTGGGTGGTACACATGCTCTGGTCTCATCTGCTGAACTCCTCATCTTTGACCCCTGCAGCTCAACAAAAAGGATGGTGTCTACCCAGCTCAACTCGTGAACTACTAGGCCCTCGGAGGTGTTCAGCAGGGTGGCTGGAGGTCAGGCCTGATCAGGCCTCACATAGCTATCTGGCAATGGTCAAGGGGCCTCCAAGAGGCCTCCAACTCCTGCACCTAGAGCCCAAAGCAGCCTTCACCAGCCCAAGGGGCCTCTGCTCCATGGGATAGTTCATCTGAATTTGAGTCTATTTATCTTTAGTAGGAACTGCCCAGAGCAGCCGGACCCAGCAGGCCTGTGGCACAACCTCAGCGAACATCTGGGATGGTATGAATACTGTGTTAGTTGTCTCTTCCTAAGTCCAGTCAACACACAGGGGAGAGGCCGTGTATGCCAGGAGCCTCCCTGCTTCTGACCAAAAAGTCTGAGGCTGTAAGTGAACAGGAGAGGGTCCCCTGCTGGCTTCTGGGGACGAGGGGATGACCTGTGGCCCTCCAGGGAGAGCAGGTGGGCTAGGCTGTCATCCTCTGGGGGCCTGGTGCTAGGGTATCCATGCTTGGAGCTCCAGGAAACCAGGCTTTGTGTGGGAGCCTGGCAACAGGGCGGCCGGGGCTGCTGCTGGGCTGTGCCTGGGGCGGCCCTGGCTCAGGTGCTGCCTCTGCTCTTGAGTTTCCATTCCCAGCCACCCTCCCTCTTCCTGTTTTCCGCTCTCCTGGCCTGGCTGCCTTCACTGGGTAGATTTCAGCCCTCCTAAAGCTGGGCCCTGTCAGCTCAGTAAGAAGCTTAAAAGCCACAGCCGCCTTTTCTGGGGGCTCAAGAATTCCGTGGGGCCCTCAGGTAGAGCAGCCCAGACTTGGAGGCTTGGCCTTCCCTGCCCCTGACAGTTTGAATAAATTTGTGTTTCTTGAACCTGAGGGAGAATAGTTGGGGGTGGGGAATACCCAGGCCACCAATAGAGACAGCAGCTGGACTGGATAAGTGCCCAGCTTCCTTCCAGATGCCTGCCCTGTGCCCTGGGACCCAACCACGGGCCAAGGTCCGGGACTATGGGGGGAGCCAACTCCTTTGCCCTGTGTCTAGTATTCCCTGTGTTTGAGTTCCACTGGCAATAAAACACTGACTTGTCACCAGTGCCCTGGTGAGGGCCCGTGCCAGGCTTTCCATTCCTCCAGAGATGCACACACTTGGCTGGCCCTGTGCAGGTGTCTGCAGTTGACAATAGAACCTGCGGACACCAAGAGCCTCACCAGTAGAGCTGGTGGCTGTCATGAAGGACTAGTCTTCCTGTAGATTGCTACAGCATGGGCCATCCTTTACCGAAGGCTGAACTAGCCATCACCATCCCATCCCCCAAGGCCTCCCTAACTGAGGCCACTGCTATTCCAGCCCGGAAACCCTGTACTCTCTCCCTGGAGCCTCACCAGTTAACACCAGGGCACCACATCTGAAACTGTCCTTGGTTACAGTTGGCAGTTTCCAGACTTCTAGGGTTTGAGCTGGTGGGTGACGCCCTTGACCTCCGTGCCACACGCTGCAGGTTCCAGAGATCACCACTCAATTTGCAGCCCCATAAAAAGGTGGTCCGGGAGGGAGGGGGGCTCTCATCCCCACACTCAGCATTTATAGGACACAAGAGCAATGCATGCTGCTGGGTCAGCCACGCTTACCGGGCAGCAGGGTAGACGCCTGTGTTCAAGAGCTTTGCAGGTACGAGGGTGATGGAGCTGGCTGCCAGGTCTGAGTCAGGTTTTATAGAACTCCAGTCACTTCAGAGTATTCACATTTACAAGCCGGAGAAAATTGGTCTGAGCTCGCTAGTGACCCAAAGGGTCTGACCTTGCATCCTGGGGCTTCAACCTGGAACTGTACCGGAAGTCAATCCTGCACCTCCAAATCATTCACCATCCTCTGGTCCCACTCATCAGAGGGTCCCAGGCGAGAAAAGGACCCAGTAGGTGTGAATTCATAAAGAACACTCAAATCACCACCTAGGTGGTGATGTCACACACCTTTTAATCCCACACTCAGGGTCAGAGGCAGGCGAATCTCTGAGTTCGAGGCCAATCTGGCCTACACATAGAAACCGTGTCTTGGAAAAAAAAAAAAAAACCCACAAAGACTGGAATTGACTTCTCAGGGCAAACTTCCTTCTTCCTAGTAGGACCACAGGCATCTCCTGTGTGCCATCAAAGGGCTGTGTATGTGAGCATTTCCCTCAGAGGTCATAGGACAGCTTGAACAGGGTTGCTCTTGGGTCGAATCCCTTGTAGGGGCCTTGTGGTCCAGACACGTACGGCTCAGCAAAGGTCAACAGAGCACGGGTCACAAAGGTGCACGGCTTACCCAGGGCAGCAGGGACGTGTGGTCAGAGACATAGCTTAGTAGGGCAGCAGGCACACATAGTCAAACAGGCATGTATCTGAAGGAAGACACAGGAAGCAAGGCCCCTCCCTCACCGTAATGGGGCTTGGGGTGGGAGGGGACACTGTTCTTGAAACAAAATGTTAGAGCCCCTGAAGCCCACTGAGAGCCAGTGTCCTGCTTCATCAACTGCACAGTCTGTGCACAGATCAGGATCAGCCAGTGCCTTGATGTCCTCAGCACCCTGCCCAGGCTGTGGCTGCAATCCTAAACACACAGTCCTATGTCAAACATTTTTCTGTTACTGCTATCTGGTTTATAAAATAAGCCTAGTCGGACGGTGGTGGCACACGTCTTTAATCCCAGCACTCCAGAGGTAGGAGGATCTCGTGAGTTCTGGGCCAGCCTGGTCTACAGAGCAAGTTTTTGGACAGCCAGAAAAAAACCAAACCAAACAAACCCTATGGCTAATGTCAGGGATCCAGAACTCACCACAACTTTGTTTTTTCTGAGATGGGTCTGCGTATTCCTCACTGGCCTGGAACTGTTATGTAGAGCAGGCTGGCCTTGAACTCAGAGCAATTCTCCTGCCTATGCCCAGCCACCAGGCTTTTGTTTGTAAACCAAGTAACCAGCACTGCCTTGCTGGACCTGTGGTCACCGACGCTCTAGAACCACGCCACAAACATCCCCAGGCAAAACAGTGGAGGAAAAAAAGAAATGCAACAAATTGAAATTAATAATTCAATTTATTAAAGTTCTACAGCTTTACAACCCTGGTGCCAGAGAGGGCCCTGGGCAGTGATGGCAAGGTCAGCCTGGCGGCCCCTTCACCACATCCACCTGGAGCTCCCATTGGCTGCAGCCCGTGCCTGGGCAGTGGGAGTTCCTGATGGCAGCTGGTGGCAGAGGTATTAAGGTGGCACATACAGCTCTGTCAGTTTACAGAATAGTCCCGTGGGGTAGAGTCCAAGTCCATGACTTGGGGACAAAGGCTGGTGGCCCTGCCAGGGACAGGCTCTCTAATCAGCTCTGCCCTGACTGTCACCTTGGCTTGCAGCCAGCTGGCAGGGTAAGAAGGGCTCTAGGTTCCACTGACAGGCACACAGCCCTTTTCTGGAACAGGTGTGGGTGCCACCCTCTCCCACCTGCCCTGGGAACTGCGCATGTGGCACCTGAAGATGAGATCCCAGAGAGGAAGGAGCCGCTGTTGCCAACCCTGCGAGGGGTCTCCCCAAATCCCTCAGCGCTGTCCACGATGGCACAGAACACTGCCCCAGAGTGCCCGGGTTGAAGGGGATGGGCCTCCTCTGACAGTGCAAGGGGCCTGCCTGGCCGTGGGCCCCACAGGGCAGCCATGGCTGGCATACTGCAGGCAGCTGAGTCCTGGCACCAAGTGAAGGGAGCTAAGGCACAGCAGGGGCGCTGACGGATGTGACCATGCACTGCTCGCCTGACAGGAAGCAGCACTCAATAAATCTGCATTTTTAACCAGCTCGGAAACAGTATCTGCATTTTTAAAAAAGTTTCCCTGAATGGTCTTGAGAGCATCAAAAAAGTTTTCAAATATAAAACAGGAAAATTACAAGTGTAGTAAAAACACTGAGTATTATTTCTTTCACAGAAACCGTCATGAGGCTTGAGGGGAGGGTGGGGACCCCGGCCTCACACCCAGAGCCGCAGCTCTCCGGCCTCTGCACAGCAGCCAACTACAAACTCTGCTCACGGTTTTGAACCGAGAGATCCAGTCTGTCGGGAGGGAGGGAGGGGTGTAATGACCTGTCCAGCACAGACCGGATCAACAGCACAGCTGCCCAGCAGCGAGGCCTGGCTATGGGTGTGTGTTCCTGGCTGGCCAGTATAAACCAGCCTTTATTAGCGCCACAGGAGCTGGTGGACCAAGACTTGAAAACATATAATTAACCATGCTTTTTAAATAAAGCTGCAACGTGAGAGCTGTGATTCTGAATTGGAAGGGGGGAGGTTATCTTCCCAAATGCACAAGTCCATCAACACTAGATACATAGAAATCACACCCAGAATACAGAATGATGGGATAGCAGGTGTGCCAGACTTTGGCCTGGCAGGAACAGAGCTTCCTTGGTCCACAAAACTCGCTCTCTATTACTCACCATGGACCTACAGTTCTAAAATCAGATGGACACACTGGCCCAGGGCACCCAGGCCGTTGGCCTAGATGCTAGACTCCACAGCCTCCGTTTGCAGAGCTTGGCACGGCAGGCAGAGAGTGTCTCGCAGGAAGAATGGGCGCCGGAGCTCACTGGAGGATGAAGCCTGGCTGGTGCGGGGCCAGCCGTGGAGGGGGTCTCTGGGGCAGGGCTGGCGGGTATGGTGACACCAACTGTGCAGAGAATCCTTGCTGAGGCGGGAGGCCCACCCTGGGGGGCAGAGGTGGGCACTGTAATCCTGGGTATGGAGAAGCCTGTCCTGAGCCCATGGCAGCCGTGAACGGGGTGGCTACGTGTCCTGCAGGCGCTGGAGGTGGAGGTGGGGGGATGCGCCGAGGCACAACAGAAGGGAGCCCAGTGGCCTCCAGAGAGGGGTAGGCCAGGGGAGTGGCAGTTAATGGCTCAGGCACCCTGGGTGGCACTGGGGCCCCGGCTTGTGGGAGCCTCTGTCCCTTCAGCACCAGCTCCTGGAGTTTCTCTACTTTCACACGTCGCACGTGTGCCAGCTTCCGCTTGCTCTGGTAGACATCAATGAAGGCATCTAGAGGAAGCTCTCCATCCAGAAACTTCTCTGCCATGTTCTACAAGAAGCAGGAGAAACCTGGTTACAAGACGTCAACTGTTGGGAAGAAAGCTCCCTTCAGAGTCCAGGCAAAGGGAAAGAGGTTCTCAGTTCCCTCCTGGAAATATGCCCCGGCGCTGTCTGCTGCCATGGGCTCCCAGCTGCAGACCCGGAGGTGAGCCTGGGTCTGGGGGATGCTGGCAGGAGCCATCACTAACCCGAGTCACAGGAAGATGAGGCGGGTGGTCCTGATGCTGGTTCCACCCTCCAGAACTGCAACAGACAGATGATAGGCCTGGCAAGGCCTTGCCTTACGACTATGCAGTCCTGACTGCCAGCTCTCTACTCCAGAGAGACGACTACTGTCCCCTATTTTCCACCTGGCTGTACTCAGACCAAATGACTCACCCTGGACAGCATCAGCAGCAGAGAACTCTGCTTGTGGCTATCAGGGCCCACCAAGCCTAACGGTTAGTCAGACCAGCACAGCCTGACCTGAGCAACGTGCACGGGTTCTGACTCATTTCCTCCCTGACAAGGCTCCGGCCATGTTTCAGTCAGCCATGTCTGGAAAGCTCTGCAGCGACCAGTGACTGACTCACTGGCCACAGCATGGCCCCAGCCACGGGCCTCTGAGATGGGCGGAGCAGCAGGCACACTCTCATCAGGTTCAGTCACCACTGACTCAACAAGGTGACCTGGAAATGCAGCCGGAGGCACCCACTAAGGTCACCCAGCCTTACCTCAGTGTCTTCCTCAATCTTGGCCCCTTCTGCTTGAAGAAGCGCTAACAGAGTCTCCAAGGAAGCACTGTTTGACTGTTTATCTGGGAAAAGCAAAAAATATGATGGCATGAGGTAGCACATCCCACCCCACCAAGAAGTTTCCTCTGCTAGAGAAAGTAACTACATTTTTAACTAGAAAGGCGACAGGAGCCAACTTCCAGGACCTGAAAGTGAAACCTCAAATACACCAGAGAGAAGGCAGGGGACAAGTTCCAGAAGGCAGAGCAGGCCAGCACAGGATCATACCCGAAGCCATCCACTCACTGTAAGATACAATCTCACCAAACCGGCCAGGCGGCCAAACCCCTGAAACCTCCTCCTGCAGCTGCGGGCCTCTGGGACACTCAAAGGAGGGCTCCTAGTTTTTCTCTTATCAGGGTTCCAATTTCCAGTGATAACTTAACCTAGCACACACTCAAGCCTTAGGGTCTTACATTAAAAAACACACAAGGGGCTGGAGAGATGGCTCAGAGGTTAAGAGCTCTTTCTACCCCTCCAGAGAACCTGGGTTCAGTTCCTAGTACCCATGTCAGGTAACATATTCACACAGACACCTACTGTTTTTTGGAAACAGGGTCTCTTTGTATAGCTTTGGAGCCTATCCTGGCACTTGCTCTGTAGACCAGGCTGGCCTTGAACTCACAGAGATCTGCCTGCCTCTGCCTCCCGAGTGCTAGGATTAAAGGCAATGAACCATCACACCTGGATCCCCGAGTCTTCCTACCCCTTTATTTTTATGTGCACTGGTGTTTTGTTTGCATGTTTGTCTGTGTGAGGGTGTCAGACCCTGAAGTTACAGACAGCCGTGAGCCGCTGTGTGGATGCTGAAGTGACCCCGGGTCCTCTGGAAGAGCAGCAGTGCACTTCGCCTATGAGCATCTCTCCAGCCCTAAGGCCTCTTGGTCTCATGTCCCGTGACGTGCTGAGTGTGCGCTGCTTTCTTCACAACTGCAATCCCAGCACTTGGGGGGTAGAAGCAGGAAGGCTGTCCATGGCTAGGGTTCATGTCCAACAAGGGCTGCATGAGACACTGTTCTAACACACACGCACACACTTGCGCACGCACTCGGTCCCTCTGTGCCGTGACATCTCAGCACGACGTTGTGGCGGTAAGGCTCTTTGGCCATTTTAGCCACACACACTGAAGCTCTGGCTGATCTGTGATTCAGAAGGCTGCCTTTCCTCTATGCTCTGGAGCAGGGTTAGTACTCAGTTTAGATAGGGGCTCTTCCCTAAGCCAGCAGGGCGATTTATATATAAACTATTGCTTGTTACAGCAGAGTCATTGTCATGACCTGAGATTTGTTCATGTTATTTTCCTGGTAAGGTATTGCTTGAACTATGTATCATCCTTCAACTCTTTTTTTTTTTTTTTTTTTTTTTTTTTTTTTTTGGAGACAGGTTTTATCTGTGTAGCCTCTGTAGATCAGGCTGGCCTCAAACTTACAGAGATCCATCTACCTCTGTCTCCTGAGAGATAGGATTAAAGGTATATGCCACCACACACCACCCAGCCTTTCTTCAACTTGTCGGTCTCAAAAGATCGCCTGGGAAGTTACCTAGCTTGGTCTTCTTTATCTGATAGGCCTCAAAGAGAACCTGGAGTTCCTGGTATTTTTGGGTCAGGCGAGCTTTCCGAGCATCCAGTTGGGGCTGGTACAAAAGGTTTTCCTCCGCCAGGCTCCGGTTGCTAGCCAGCGTCATCTCTTTGTTAAGCTGAACAGTCTGTGTCTGCAAGAAACACACAGGCTGGTGAGACCCACTGTGTGCTCCCCACAAAGGCCACATCCTCCCAGGCCCCACCCTGCTCCCCAGATGGCTCCACGTGCTGGGCAGACACAGCCAAGCAGACTCCTGGCCCTCCGCCTTCTTGTGGGTGCTCTCCCCATTCAAAGGGTAAGGCCCACTTCCTTCCCCATGGTTCTGCAGAGCTTGGGCTTCAATGGCTGCACTGTGACGTGCGCTCGGTACAGCTGCCGCCGGGCTGCCAGAAGCAGACAGCTGGGAAGGCGCAGGGCTGGGCTGTCCGGAGCAAGCTCCTGCTGCTGCAGAGGAAACCAGGGCCACTTTATCAGAGGGGTCTAAGTTGGCAGGATGTCAATGTGTGCTTCATCGTCAGCCTCAGATCAAAGAAGCCCAGCCGGCAGAGAGAGAATGTGTTTACAGTGACCGCTTCTCCCATCTCTCCCACGCCCGCCAGCAGCTCTCCTGGGTCGTCCCCTTTAGCAAAGCCAACCAAAGGGAAAAGGCTGACTGTGCCCGTCAAGGGCTCCCTCACTGACTCAAGGCCCTCTGGCTGACAGATATCGAAAGCTGGCCGTGCAGACCTTGCGGTGGGAGGTCTGTGAAATGGTTAAGGACAAAGCGTGGCCACAGTCTGTTCAAAGAGAAAAACAAGAAGCAAATACATCTGCCCTCTAGTTCCCCATTTCCTCGCCCGTGACATGCTTCCTCTACACGGCCTGCCTACTTTCTGCGTGTTAAGTCCAACCCCTCACCAAGGCGACATGTCTGCATCTCTTCCAGCAGCTATTCAACCGCACCCAGCCATCTATTTTCCCTTTAATATTTTCTGCTGCCCCACCCAGGCTATTCTTGCTAGGACTTCCTTCCTGTCCATGCTCTGTATGTAGTCCTCTGCTCCCCATCTCCCACCAGGTACACGGTGCCTAGCACACACACGTGCGGGACACACACAGTAGACACGGGGAACTCCCAGAACAAAGGAAAAGCCCTTGAGTACCGGATCCCTGGTCACCACACAGGAGGCATTTGTTTAGCAGACACAGAGGCAGAGAGCTAGGACCACAGGTCCTAAAGACCACACTCCTCCAAAATCAGAGAGGACCCCAATCACAAAGCCACTTGACTCCCCGGCTCAACACTGTAAAACACGAGCCAGCAGCATCCCCAAGGCTGGTGGCATAGAGACACTTTATCTCTCTCTGATGTTTAAGCAAGCAGGGAGAATGCGCCAGTGGAAGGCAGTGCTTTAAGGAGGGTCTCTGGGAAGCAGGTAGGGCTCCTGTGCCTCAGGTACCCCGGAAGCACCCTGAGCTCTCTGTGGGCTCTGTGTACTGATGGCCACGTGAGTCTTTCCTTCCATTGTTAAGCTGTTGGGAAGAAAAAACAAAAATAAACCGTGTACATCCACTCTGGCACTTCTTGTAAAACTAAACATGGAAATATCATTTGACCCAGAAACTGTACTCCTGGGCATCCATCCAGAGAAACAAAAGCTGGTGCTCGCACTCGCGAACACACACCCACACACCCACACACACCCCTACCTCTGCACTTGAATTTCCCAGTAGATTTGTTTAAAATAATCCAAAACCTGAAGCATGAGAGCAGTCAGTGTGACACATCCACACTGTGGAATACTATTCAGCAATGAAAAGGGTGAGCGAACTTATACACGAAACAACTCAAATAAACCCCAGGGAATCACAAGGAGTGAAAAAAGCCGACTCTGAGGGCCATGCATCCTATGATCCCTCAGGCGCAGTAGTGACACACATCACAATGGAGAGGTGTGAGGTTTGTGATGGAGAAGGAGGGCTGTGAGTAGTCGCCTCTGATTGGGGACAGAAGTCGCTATTCTGTATCCTGTCGGATCAGGCTGTGAGATTCTCCCACTGGGGGATGAGGTGAAGGGACACCGGGGCTGTGTCTTATGTGTAGCACTTGAATCTGTAGTTGGTCATAAGCAAACGAGCTGTTGTGGGTCTTTCTTTCCTCCCACTGGTGTTGCCTCAAGAGTGGCAGGGGCCACATTCAAGGCCAAGGTGAGGACCAGGACATGGCTTCCAGGTCTGCGGCCCTGTACTGTTACTCTTTTGTTTGCTGTTTTGAGACAGGGTCTCACTGTGTAGGCCAGACTGGCCACAAACTCACAATTGTCCTGCTCCAGCTTCCCAAGCCTGGAGATCACGACACCACGAACCACAATAAGCCATGCGGCTTGTACAGGTCAATACTGAAACTGTAATTTTTTGTTCTGTAAGCATTTGCTGAAAAGTCACCATCTTCCAGGCCTAAGGTGAGCAGAGAAAACTCAGAGAACAGAAACACTCCTAAGGAAACCGGCGTCAATGGAATGGTGGCATCTGCCCTCTCTGTAAGGCCACTCTTGCCCCTTCCCCGCCGGCTGGGCCTGTTCTTCACACTGTGGGGGCTCAGAGGGCCTGACCATTCTAAACTCACAGCCACACTCGCTCTTTCAACAGTAAGAAACGCCTCTTGCTCACTAAGAGTCTCAAAACCCAAGCTGCAGGATGGTACTTGACACAACAGGCCCCAGCACACGGGGACCACTCAGTGAAATCTGCTGATCCACCAGTGGGCACCTTCCCCCTTATAGAACAAACCAAAAATCATCTGAGGCCAATTCCCAATTGCAGAACAAGGCTGGAGATCCAGAGTGCTTGCTGGTTAATCGTGTGCAAGGCCCTGGGTTTCACATCTGCCATCAAACAATGCAATGGGTAACAAAATATGGAGTAGGAAAAAGTGAGCTCTTGTCAAGGGACTCAGGGCATTGTACTGCGAAACTCTGTGTGCCTGCTGAGCTCTCTAAGAATGTCACTTGAGTCTAAGCCTATCTGGGAGCATGTGCGGTCACACACTGTGGGTAGTTTCCAAGGCAGAATGTCCCTAGAAGTTCTTAGCAGAAGCAACACAGTGGACTCAGGGTCATGACGCGGGCGTGGGAAAGGTACCATTCAAGCACTCGCCTCAGCGTCTTAGAGGGAGCTGAGAGGCCCAGTGCCTATGGGCTGGTCACAGCTCAGTAGCGGGGCGCCTGCCTAGCACGATGAAGCTCCAGGCATACACACACCCTAAATCCAGACCAACCACCTACCAACCGACTGTCTGGAGGGGACCCAGGCAAGGACACTTTTCCAAACTCTCAGAGGATCCCAACATTGGGCTAAGCTGACACACACCACTTTCGTTCTCTATAAAATGCAAATACAAAAATATCCTGTTCCCACAGGGAACCATCAAGATCACTTGCCCTACATAGCACCAAGTCCTGGTAGAAAACACAAGGAAGCCTGTACTAAAAACAAGACAATCATCTTACAGGACTCTATGCCAAAGCCACCCACCAATAAAAGAAGCCAAACAAACTCCCAATGATGTCAGGCAGGCTGTTAAACTGGCTGTATTTTTTTATTTACCCTTTGGGCCAGCTGACGTTTTTTTTTTTTTTTTATGTGAACAAATAACAGCAAATCTAAGTGGCCGCCCAGAGGATGCCCCCCCCCCCAGCCTCCAGGAGGGCAATGGCAGCAAGGACAAGGGTTGGGAGTGCTGTGGGCAGGTAGACCTTTTTTATTGTTTTTCAAGACAGCGTTTCTCTGTGACTTTGGAGGCTGTCCTGGAACTAGCTCTTGTAGACCAGGCTGGTCTCGAACTCACAGAGATCCGCCTGCCTCTACCTCCCGAGTGCTGGGATTAAAGGTGTGTGCCTGGCGTCCTTCTTTTCTTAGCTTTTGTAAGAAAGCTGGATGGAGGGACAGGGAAGCTCAGCAGGACCACCCCGGCCCAGTAACGGATATGAGAGTGCAGGGAAGGCCACTTCGGCAAATGTCAGGCATAAAAGAATCCAAGTTGTTCCCATCCCCAGCCTCATGGCAGGGACGGCAGGACACATGCGAACTGAGACCAGCAGGGGCCAGGCCCCTTGATCTTTTCCCATGGCCCATCCTTTTCTTAACCATAAAGAAATCTTTTCAGGAAATCATTTCTCTGTGGTGAAGAACCATTTCTGTAAATGTTCTCAGTTTCACTTCAGCTTCCTTCCCTCCTATAGGAAAATGATCGATGTGTGACACATTCACCAGGGCCCCATTTGCATGGCGACTTCTGCCCATGAACTTGAGGCAGGCTGTCTAGGACACTTCTGGGTTAGTTCCCATGGCCCTGCTGGAATCAGTTCACTTTCAAACTCTTTCTACTTTGAACTTCCACTTGATATTTTTTTTAATCACTTGATTCGTTTTGACAGTCATACAACTCAGAGAAAAAAGTCATTTCCTTACAATAAACAAACACAACACCCCCCTTTTGATGTTATCACAAACAGAAGGCAGATGCCCTGGGAAATAAAGTGCCTCCCTTTAAAAATGGAGAGGTGGGGATGGCAGCTGGAGAGACAGACAGCCCGGCAGGTAAAGAGCCTGAGGATGGGTTCAGGCCCCCAGTGCCCACATAGGAGCACTTCTGTCACAGGCTGCAACTGCAGAGCTGGGGTGAGACGCAGGCAGACCCTGGCCAGCCAGGCCAGCCAATAGGTGAGCTCTGCATTCAATGAGAGACCTTGTCTCAAAAGATAAGGGGGAAGAGTGAAAAACCAGCTCACACATGCGCATACATGACACACAGAAAGTAACTGACTGAGACGAGGAGACTATCAGGAAATAAACTGCAAGAGGAAGCAGATGTAAGCTCCCCTCTGCCCATGCAACACTCAGATGTGAGACTCCCTGAAGCCCTACTGGCTATGGCCACGTCAAAGGCTTGAGTTTATAGCGGACACTGTCCAAATCAGCTACTTCTCCAATGTGAAACTGTGACTCAAGCCGACCAGGGTCTGGCTCCCTAATCTGTAATTATAACTGTCTTCCTAAATGCTCCCGCGTCCAAACTTTTTTTCATGGAAAACTACTCCTGGCAGTCCCTGACTACCTTTTTACACCTCAGCATGACAAATCAGATGGCAC